ATTATCTTAAAAAGTTAAAGAAAGATCTTATTTGCCTACAAGAGACTCATATTAGGAAAAAAAAGATATAAAATATTTGACCTATGAAACTTTGGGTAAACAATTGATCTCAGCAGATATTAAGAAGAGAAATGGAGTTGTTTTGTATATTAATCCTCAACTAAACCCAGAACTTATATTAATTGATGAACATGGTAGATTTGCTGGAGTAGAAGTTATATTATATGGGATTAAAGCCATGGTTTTATTAGTTTATGCCCCAAATGAAGATAAAGTGACTTTCTTATAAACAATTAATGGAGAGATGAATGGCCTATTCTTATGAAAGTTGGTGTTTGATGGGGGATTGGAATGAAGGGGTCTCCCCCCAACTGGACAGGACTTCTGAGAAAAATATTAAAATAACTCAGAGGAAATTAGCAAAACAAGTCTTTGCTTTCATGGACAATTTAGGGCTAGTTGATATGTGGAGATAGAAGAAGAGACTACAGCTATTTTTTAGAAAGACACAGATCTTTTTTCAAAGATAGATATAATTTGGATTTCAAGAGACTTGGCTACTAAATTTTCTAAGGTAGAGATTTTACCAAAGACTTTCTCAGACCATAATCCTATGAGTCTGGCTTATAAAAGAAAGTCTAACTCTGTCAAATTGAGATTAAATGAAGTGTTGTTACAGAAAGATGAAATTATTAAGGTCTGTAATAAGAAATTAAAGTATTTTTAAAATAATTTTTTAAAAACTATTGATATGAGAATGGTTTGGGATGTAAGCAAACCCTTTATTAGGGATTACTTGTTACAATATAACTCTGAACTTAAGAAGAAGAGGCAAGAGAAAATACAAAATATTTTGGATAAGATTAAAAGAAAAGAAAAAGAATTAAGGAACTCTCCAAGGATTACAAATATCTCCCCAGAAATTAAGATTTTACAGCAACTGTTATCTAGGTCAACAATAAGAGAAATGGAAATAAAGTTGAACAATGCAAAGCAAAGGAATTTTGAATTCACAAATAAACCAGGGAAATGGTTGGCTTAAAACTGTGAAAAGAAAAAGAAAAGAGAATGATATTGAAACTACAAGAGAGAGACACTGTATTAATAGATAATGTGCCATACAAGTTTATGTTATAAATGTTTTGAGTATGAACTTTTACAACCTTTACAAAATATAATGAATTCTATTTTATAGGGTGGAAAAATACGAAAGTCTTGCAAAGAAGCTAATATAACGTTAATACCTTAAGAAGGACAAAATGTGACTTTAGCAAGGAAGTGGAGATCAGTATCATTGTTGAATGATGACTATAAGTTATTTACAATGATTTTAGCTGAAAGATTGAAAATAATTTTGTGAGAATTTATTCATGAGAATCAGTCTGGGTTTTTACCTAAAAGACAGTTGAAAGACAATACTAGAACTGTACTGGGTATGTTGGAATATTTGGAACAACATAATGAAAAACATGCTGCATTGATCTTTTTAGATGGAGAGAAGGGTTTTGACAATTTGAACTGGACTTTCTTGTTTAAGATTTTGAAAGATATGAATTTTGGAGCGAATTTTATAAAATGAGTGAAATCAATTTGTAATTCACAGGCAGCACAACTAATTGTTAATGGAGATTGAACCAAACCATGTGAGATATAACAAGGAACTAGATAGGTTGCCCACTGTCTCCTCTTTTGTTTATTTTAGAATTGAGGTATAAGACAAGATGAGATATAAGACAAGACAAGTAGGCATAAAGGTTAAAAAAGAGCCATATAAATTAAGAGCTCTTGCAGATGACTTGGTTTTAGTTTTGGCAAACCCCTTAAAGGAAATTGAATTTTTAATGAGTAAATTAAAAGAATTTGGGGCCTTAGCAGGTTTCAGGTTTAATAAACAGAAGACAAAGATGCTAACAAAAACATGAAGATACAAGTTCAAACAGAATTGATGAATAAAATAGGTTTTAAGATTGAGAAAAAGATAAAATATTTGGGTATATCTATGAGAAATATGAATTGCATTTCAAAATAACTATGTTAAGACATGGAACGAAGTTTAAAAAGATATGTTAGATGGGACAAATTACAATTGTCATTGTTGGGTAGAATCGCTATGATTGAGATGAATGTTTTACCTAGACTGTTATTTTTATTTTAGACAATACCTGTTTTGACAACTAGTCGACAATCTTGACTTTTTTGAAGAATAAAGATGGTTTAAAAAAACAACAACATATGGTTCAGAACGGATTAACCTTATTTACATTGAACCTTATGGGAAAATTTGATTATTCGGCTGGTGACCAAAATCGGTTAGTCGACAATCTTGACTTTTTTGAAGAATAAAGATGGTTTAAAAAAACAACAACATATGGTTCAGAACGGATTAACCTTATTTACATTGAACCTTATGGGAAAATTTGATTATTCGGCTGGTGACCAAAATCGGTTGGCGAACACGTTCGTAGGGGTCAGAATGGATTAACCTTATTTACATTGAACCTTATGGGGAATTTGATTCAGTTCGCAATCAATTTGGCTCACGACCAGAATCGTGGAACGAATTAAGTTTGTGAACCGAGGTACCACTGTACATCATTATGTATCTATTGGACCTGAAACCAAGCCATGATTCCTCAAAAACATGTGCAGAAAGTGCAGAAATAGAAACTTGGCCCCCAACACATACACAAAGGATGAGAATAATCTTGTGCAGGTAGAAATAATGTAAACTGGAGTGAGGGCTATTGCTTGTTTTAATCCAATGCTTCACTCTGGGTTGGGTTCCTCCCTTGAAGGTACACCCTTAATTGGGACAAGCTTATTTGTACAACCCCCAATACTCTTGTCAAGTCATAAGATCCCATAACATCATTGGCAAGAAAGTAGCACCCATATAGTGAAAATATTAAAAACAGAATTCAAGGGTGGCCTTTCCAAGTAGGTTGGACTCTGTGTGTGTGAGTGAGTGTTGTGAATGTGTGTGCCTTCAAGTCAATGTTGACTCTTGGTGACTGCCTGGAGTCATCCCTGCAGTTTTCTTGGCAAGATTTCAGAAGTGGTGTGCCATTGCCTTCTTCTTCCTAGAGCTGAGAGAGAATGACTGGCCCAAAGTCACCCAGCTGTCTTTGTGCCTAAGGTGGGATTAGAACTCACAATCTCCTGGTTTCTAGTCTGGTGACTTACCCATTACATCAAGCTGACCCTCAGGTTGGACTTAGGGTTGTTCAAAAGTATTCTTAGTTTCCCTACGGTTTTCATTCTTCGCTGTGTGTGTGTGTGTGTGTGTGTGTGAGAGAGAGAGAGAGAAAGAGAGAGACTGAGTTTGGTGAGTATAATTTGGTTTAATACAGGAATATGTATTCCTTTCATAAACCATACATTTTTGTATGTGGAGTTAAAAACAATAACAACAACAAATCAATTTTAAAATATTATTTTAAATGAAAAAAAAGGAAAGGAAAAGCAAAGCAAAATATCTTTGACATATCTATCTATTTTAATCTGAGGATAATGGATTCCCAATTGGTTTCCACTGCCTTGAATTCCAGAAGGAATAATGGTATGAACTCATGCCTTTTATATTATCTTGCTCCAAGAAAGGCTCCCACACATTTAGACAAGGGTGGCAAAGATGCCAAATGTTTCTCTGCTGCAACAGAATTACTTCCTACAAGGTAAAAGCATGTTTCATGTGGACT